GGGCCCTGACCTAGGACTGGGACTGGGACTGGGACGGGGAACTGGGAGTGGCCGGACCACCTTGCCATAGCATGCCATGCCTTGCTTGGTCTGGCCTGGGCCTGCTGCAGTGCGGCCTTGACCACCACGGGCACCTATGACCATCTTTCGCTGCATTCTGAATCTCTCGACTCCTCTTCTCTTGAGTTCTTCCACTCTCACACACCCATCCTACACATCTTCTTCTCTCCAGCAATCTTCTCTCTGCAGACCCTTCACCGAGTCTGAGAGAGAGCTTCGAGAAGCGACACTTCTTCTTTTTTTCTTCATCCCCCCCCTTTTCCTTTTTTCTCCTTTGCCCTGCCCCATTCGTGTGTTTCGATACCCTCAATTGTTGTTCGTGGTCCGGTTTCGTGGCCTCCCCTCCCTGTCCCCACGACTGTCTCTGCGAGCTCGCAATATGAACAAACTGGCGAACATGCGTCACTGGTCCGAGAGGATGAGCCCCAACTTCGGAATGGGTCGTCCCAACATGCCCATGAACCCCATGAACCCGAGAAGAGATACAGTTCCTCAACAGGCTGCTTCAATAAGCTCGCCCCAGCCTCTCGATGCTCCGACACCGATCATTCACTACTCCTTCAATGTGCCATTCGCCTCCGACCTCGCCGGTCCCAATACCGAGGACATCCTTCACGCTACCGACGATGCTGTCCTGCGCTGGACCCACCCCGAGGAAGTTGCCGATGACGTCCAGGTTCACGAGCTGCCCGTCCACACCCAGAATCTTGCCAACTTGCGCAAGGTCTGCAAGGACATCACCAGCGGCCCTTTCCAGATTGAGGCTCATGTCATCTCGACGACACCCAAGAATGCAAAGCGACAGCAGGTCACCACTGTGTGCCTGTCAGGAACTCCGGAAATGGTCAACAAGAGCAGGGAGACGATTTTGAACGACAACCAGACTGTCTTGGTAGGTTTCTTTTGCAAATACGGAAGGGGTGTTGGGCCGTGGATTAACCTGTGTCAATCTAGCGTTGTACGACTGTTGATGTCGAGGGCCACCTCGTCTGTGACCTGACCGCCGGTGCCTTGAAGCAGCAAGTGACGGACACCTTGGATTACATCTCCAAGTATTGCGGGGTCGACATTTTCTTGCTGGGTCCCAAATTGACACCCGTGGTTGATGGCATGACGGGTGACGCCGAGATGCGCGTAGATCAAAGATGGCGAGTAGCCATCTATGGTGATATCCTCTCCGTCGAGCATGCAAAGGCCCGTGTGCTCATCCAAATTGACACTCTGGTAAGCTTGGCCAATCAACGACATGATTCTGTCTCACCTCGCTAACCGTATTGTAGCTCGGCCGAGTTGTCGATGCCACCAAGCTTGACCTGTCGATTCACCAACTTGTGTGCGGCCGCCACCGGAAGAACATTAAGCTCATCGAGTCCTCGACTGGCACTGCCATCTACTTCCCGCCTCCCTTCTCTCAGATGTACCGATACTGCCCGCCTGGTGCAAGCCGTCGTGACCCTACAGACATCTTCATCACGGGCGAGAGCCCTCAGGCCATTGAACTTGCCAAGCAGAAGCTCCACGAGACTGTTTCCCGCATCCGCCTGTACATGAAGGATGTCACTATCTCGCCCGCCAAAATTGACAGCGTCTTGCTCACCCGTCTTGACAAGGTTCGGAAGATCCTTGAAGCCAATGGCACCTACATCTTGTTCCCTCCTCTGGCAAGCCAGCGCAACATGGTTCGTGTCCAGGGAAGCGAAGGACTGCATGTTGAGCGCACCGTCCGCGAGGTCATGGCCTTGGTAAGTTATGCACGAGAACCAGACGACTGCCCAAATCTAACAATCTATCATAGGCTGGACAATTCTACAGCGCAGCTTGGTGGATCCAGCAGCCCGACAGTCGCCAGCTTCCGAACCCCGCTGACGTCAGAACCATGCTTGGTGATGTTTGTGCCAACTCGGATGCCGACCTGTCTTTCGACAAGATGAACTTCTCAATCACCGGTTCCGATGATGCTGTAAAGGCCGCCTTGATGGTCATGTCCGAGATCAAATTTCTTGTCCAGTCCCAGTACCAGATCCGAGTCAAGATTGAACTTGCCAATGAGCACAAGGAATTTGTGAGCGGCAAGAAGAATGGCAAAATCAACAAAATCATGGGTCAAAGCAGTGTACAGATCATATTCGACGGCTTCAACGAGTACAACTTCAACATTGATGTTATGGCTGCCAGCTACGACTCGATGAAGCAGGGCCTAACACTTGTCGAACAGGAGATGCCTGCTTCCATCTCCTTCCACGTTCCTGATCAGTACCACAAGCGAATCATCGGCATTGGAGGACAGCATATCCAGCGCATCATGAAGAAGCACTCTGTGTTTGTCAAGTTCTCCAACGCTATGGACCGCGGAGGAATGGGTCGTGAGGATGACGATGTCAAGGTCGACAACGTCATTTGCCGCACTCCTGCCAGAAACGCCCAGAATCTCGACGCTGTCAAGAACGAGATTCTGGAAATGGTCGATAGAGCCGTAAGTTGACCGGTTCAATCACTCGAATCGTCACGCTAATCGAATTGCTATAGGACTCCGAGTACACCTCGCAGATCGTCAACGTTGACCGCCTGTACCATCGTCAGCTTTTGGCTCGCCTCGGCGAGATCGACGAGCTTGAGGGCAAGTACAACTGCAAGATCGTGTTCCCCAGCACTGAGCAGGCTAGCGATGAGGTCACTGTGACTGGTCCACAGTGGCAGGTACCTCATTGTGTCGATGAATTCTTGGTATGACCTCCGATCGGCCTTTTGCTGTTGAATCTCTTATACTGACTCTCTGGCCAGGGCATGGTTCCTGACAACCACGAGTTGGTTCTCACCCGTACCCCCGAGTTCATCAAGTTCCTCGAGTCGCCCAGCTTCGCTCACGACCTTGTTCCGAAACTGAAGACGCAGTATGAAGTTGAGGTCACTGTCCATCAGGATGCCGATCCTGAGGATGGCTTGCCGGCTCTCGCCTTGCGCTGGACGTTTACCCGCAACAATGCCGGCGGCCTGCGTGACGCCATCGACTTCCTTCTTGCTCAATTTGCCACTGCTGGCGTTGAGGTGACCATTTTGAAGGGTTCGATCCCTCGGCCGAAGTCCGATTCTTTCGAAGACTCGCTTCAGTACTTTGACTCGAAGCTTCTCCAGCATGCTCCGGCCACCATCGCTGCCGATTCCCCAACCAAGGCGGCCTTCGAGGGAGAGGTTGCTCGCGAGCGAGGCACGATCTTTGACCGTCTCCGCAAGCCTGGCAGCATGACCTCCATCTCGTCCTTCTTGGACCGCCGCAAGAACAGCTCTCACTCGACCCACGCCAACTTTTTCAAGGGATCTAGCAATGTGTCCAAGTCTTCCCTTATTTCGATCGAGTCTACCCGCAGCTTCAATGCGGACAGAAACCCCTGGAACGATAGCGGCGTTAATCTTCCAGACGACGACAACCCATGGGCCCACCGCCCTATTGGGAATGGTTCCGACAAACTGACCATTCCCCAACCTGGTGACGTTACGCCACGTCACAGCACTCGAGCGTCCGGCGACAGCGGGCGCCCTTCTACGTCTCATTCTACGAATTCTGGATACCCCGGTCCCATCGGACCTTTCCGTTAGATTCCCGTCTTAGAAAATCTACTACGTGCAAAATACCCCGGCTGGATATACCCTGGCGTACAATACCCCCGGAACGTTGCTTCCGATGCATCGGTCGGCCGAAGTTATTGTTTTGCTTGCTTTGTTGCTATTGCTTTTATCGTACTTTGTTTTAGTTGATTTAGTCTCTTAGTCTTGCGGGTTTCGATAGTCGCTATCGCACGTGTTCACGTCCACTCTTTATACCCCCGAAGTCGAAAGGCGGAGGACAAAAAAGAAAAGATACCTTGTTTGCGGTTTGGCTTTGTTTGTTTATGCATTCAGCGCTCCTGATGACCACGGTCACAGGGGAATCGAAAAAGCGAAAGGTCGAGGGGTCACATGGTTTCGCCCATAACTCGATTCTGATATTCCAGCGGGGCCAGGTCCCGCAATCCTCTACAGATCTATTCAATATAGATCACTCCCCGCACAACATTTGTCTCTGCTGCCAAAGGGGCTGAAAAATAGGGGCATACGAGACCTCGAGGCCAGCATGGAGTGTCAATTGGGAAAAGATGGAAATAGGTAGTTATACTCTCTGGGTGTGGGTTGGCTCAGCAAGTCCGCCAGGCGGTGAAAGGGAAAATTGTTATGGCGGCAGGCCAGTATGACGCAAGATTCAGCGGCTGACTGAACTGCAAGCGGGAGATGACGACGGAACTGTATGGATACCTGCAGGCCTTTTTTTAGTTTGACCTTGAAATGTAACGATACCCATGGTCATTCAAACCACTATCATTTGCCAATGTGATGTGTAATCGGTACTGGCAATGGGGACTGGGAGAATCTTACTTGCCGTTTAGGAGGATTGGAACCTCGGTAGAGCTCTATCATCTCGACTTGGAGGACAACGAAAGTCGATATTTGGATCGATTAGTTGCGTTCGACCAGCAAAGAACGAATGTAACGGTTCAACCTTGAGGCCGAACCCGCAACCAGGTGTCTTGCGAACCCCTTTATTCCCCCTGGGGCCGTACTTCTTGCTAGCAAAGTGCTGCTTGTAATGGCCTCTGGAATGTAGCTTCAGATTTTGAACATCATAGTCGGTCAGTGTCAGCAGATGCTACCCAAGTTACAAATGTTTTCAAGAATGTTGTACAGGTTCCTCCTATCTTACAACCACTCCCTTGCGAGTCTCTATGATTTACACATGCACACTGGCTTGATCCCAAAAGATAGACCCCCAAAAGCCTTGATCTTACAATACCAACACCCCCAGACCCCTGAGCAAGAGAGACGTCTCCTCGAACCTCACAGCAAGAAGAGATTCCCTCATGTAGAAGCAATAGGCTCAATCCCCAACCTCACAACGCAGAGACATCAAATCAAGAAGAGACGGGCCCAACCGAGACCTTTTCCTGCCTCGCCCGCGCCTCTATCTGTGCTTTTTTATCTTGAGACCGCTGGACGCGCCGCCTCTCCGTCTTCAAGCTCGCGAACCGGCCCTTGGCACCGTGCCTGATCTTGGTAATCATATCCATCGCCTTACCCTTGTTGACGTTGGCGGCCGTCAGGGGCTCCTCCTTGGGCCGGAGCTTGTTGAGGAAGTCGAGCTGTCCCGGCGTCGGCGGGCCCTTGCGCCAGCGTTGCCAGCGTTGGACGAATGTGTGGGGGTAGAGTTCCGAGTTGGAGACGTAGTTGTCGCTGCCGTGGACCGCGTCGGCGAAGGTTGCGGCTTGGAGGAGCTCGCGGGCTGCGGCGAAGGGGGATTTGCCGACGCTTGGGGGCAGGGTGCGGACTTCGACGGCTTGCCAGAGGACCTTCTCTTTGCCGTCGTCGTCGTCGTTGTTGTCGGAGTTGGTTTTGGCGTCGACTTTGAAGAGTCGGATGTAGGATCCGTTGGGCGCGCAAAGGACGTATTTATCTTGGCCGACCTGAACCCACGCGTACTGGCTTATCGCCCGAATGTGCTGCTCGCCGGATGTGTCCTGAATCAGATCAAAGACGGAGTCGTAGTCGGTGAAAGTTACCGATTTGGTGGGCGCAGTAGCTTCGGGTGCAGAAGCATCAGAGTAAGCGTGGTCCTGTCGGAGCTTCTCTGCTTCTTTCCTGCCCTTGATCTCCTCCATGTCGGCCGTAGTCGCTTCGCTGACGATCTCGCTCAGATCCAGACCGAAAAGCGTCGGTGTAGTCACGATACCGGTCTGGAGACTGGAAACCATGTCGATGATATGGCAGTCAGACTTTCCCTTGTGTAACCTCATACCTCTACCGATCATCTGCACCAGAAGGTTCCGAGATCGTGTTGGGCGAGCAAGAATTACGCAGTCGATATTTGGGATATCGGTTCCTTCCGTGAAGACTCCGCAGTTCACAAGCACAGGGAACTTTCCATTGCGGAACTCCTCGAGGGTCTTCGCTCTCTCGACTTTGTGCGTGTCTCCAGTCACGAACCTTGCGTCGTAGCCGTGTTTGCGGAACGTCTGCGTCAGACCAGCGACGTGTGCAAGGTCTACACAGAAGACCAGAGTCGATTTCCGATCGGAAGCCTTGGCCAGCCAGCTCCGTACGGTGATTTCGTTGATCTCGTCCGTATTGACGGCCCTTGAGAGTTCTCCCTGCTGGAAATCGCCATTCATACCATTCCTGACCCTGGATAAGTCTGCTGTCGATTCCACGGTGGTGAACATGACATCCGAGAGCCACTTGTCTCCGATCATGTCAACATAATCTTTATGATAGACGATCTGGTCAATCGCGGCGCCCAACTTGAGGCCGTCGAATCGAGAAAAGGTGGCAGAAACGCCCACCAAAGACGGCGAGTCCACTTTTTTACTGTCGAGTCCAAAGTGACGCAGTACTCGCATATAACCTGGGGCTACAATGTGATGCGCCTCGTCGACGAGAACCAGCTTGAATCTCTGCGGGTCGAACTTGTTGAGTCGGTCCCCAGACGTGATGCTCTGCAGGCTGGCAATGGTGATGTCTGCGGTGCCAGAGGCATGCATGGAGCCCATCTCAATCTCCACGGTGCTGTCGGGGTACGCGTTTGTGCAGTGCCTTGCCGCTTGCTCGACAAGTTCTCTCCTGTGGGCGAGGATGAGGGTCTGCGTGGCGATGGTTTCCCTCGGCTGAACTCTTTGAATCAGCTGTGTGAAGATGACCTGAGATTGTTAGTCTATAGTCATCAACACTGCGTCACAGAGGCTAACCGTCTTGCCGCTACCGGTAGCCAGCGAGATTCCTAGTCTCTTGTGTCCGTCTTTGAGAGACTGTAGGACGGATCGAATGCATTCTTCTTGATAGTCTCTCAGTTGTATCTGAGAGCTCGCGAATCGTACCCCAGCATAGGGAAGATTTCTCTTAACAGGGGTTTTAATTAGAATGGGAAGTCTCAATTCATTTACAGTGAAGGAAGGTGCCAAAAGCTTCCGTGAGACAAAGGGTATCATGGTGCAATGGTCTCCATCCTACAAGAAGTTGAAGATGAAAAAGGATGTCCAAGTAAGGTAATAAGTGTATTTGGGGGTCGCTGTTGCGGAAACCTGGGTGTGCAGGAAAGCAAGGGGCGAACAGTTGCTCCAATCGACTGCTGTCTCCACAGGCCTTAGATAGTACTTGCCCAAATGTACTCGAAGTTTCCTGGTAACACTTGCAGCAGACTTTTAGGCACGTGCCTGTTAGAGTCACATAATGAGGAACTTGCGGTCCCCAATGCTGGGAAATCTTCAGTCTCACAATACTGAGGCAGCGTTCATCTCATGTCAAACCAACAAACCTCATATCCAAGAGGCAGCCACCAATTACATTCACCAAGCCTGGAATCCAATACGCGAAACTCGGCTTCTTATGAGGCAACAAATTTTACATTCTGGTGCTCTCATCACAACATGTACGCGACACACCACCTAGGCCGAATCGTCGACTTCAGAGTTTCAGACGAAAATGAGCATGGAGCCGGAAGACGATTATTTGCCAAGTCAGGAGGACCTAGGAGACCATGACCTTGAGGACCTCGAAAAGTCACCAAAACGGCAAAGAACCCAACACCAGAGATCGCATTCTGCTTATTCCGTCGCATCGTCTAGCGACAATGAAAATGGCACAGACGAAGGCCGCCCAAGACACAAGCGACGGGCGCAAAATGAGATCGTGGAGCCAGTTCTCAAGCGTCACAAAGGCGTCTTCAACAACAACTACTTGGATCTCTTGAATGAGGAAATTCAAGATGTCGTTCATCAGACGACTGTCGGAAGAGACGATGATATGCCACCTTCGCAGATTGGCCTGACAACTTGGACCTCATACGAGAAGAAGCTCTTCTTCGAGGCCCTCTCAAGACTTGGCAAAGACGATTTACCGGGTATCTCGGCCAAGATCCAGAACAAGAGTGAAATTGAAGTCCGCCAGTACATTCTTCTTCTGCAAGCGGCCGTCGAGGGAAGGGACAAGGAGCAGGACGGAGGCAACAAGCCAATACATTTAGCAGACTACCCTGCAGCCCTCGAAATCAGTCCGCTGTGCTGCCACGCGCTCGACGAAGCGGCCGACGCGCTCTCTTTCCGCCAGGAACGGCACGAGGAGATTGTCGAACAGAAGAAGTGGGGTGAGTGCTGGAACATCAACCTGGAGCTCGCGAAACGCATCGAAGGCGACCACGGCCTGGAAAAGGACCCGACGTTTGCGAGCGATCATGGGCTGGCATTCACTGAGGTCCTTCGGGTGAAGAGTTTCCTTCGACTTCCCGAGCACATCTTCATGAACGCATCCAACGCCGAGAATAACTGGCAGTACGTCAGTGAGGAGCCGCCGACGATCAGGGCGACGGCACTGCAGGACTTCCACTCTCTTCTCGTCTCTGTCACCAAGAAGATCGTCCTCACTACACTGTTTATTGCGCAATCCCGGATCCGGGCCAAGAAGCACGTTGAACCGTCCACGAGGAACCTGGTCAGACGCAAGGATGTTGAGGCGGCAGTTGCGTCGTTGGGAATGAAGCAGAACAGCGATGAGTTCTGGACGACATGTGCACGGAGGCTACGACTCGAGGTCTATGATGACGATGCCGAAGATGTTGGGGACGACGAGGACGAAGAGCCGATGTCATACGACCGCGTGGAGAGCATTCTACGGAGCGGATCGGACTCCCTCGAGTCCCCCATTACCGGCGAAACCTCCCCGACGCCGCAGATCAAATTCGAGAAAGACGAAATGTCGGCCTCGGCAGACGATGAAGACTCCGTCTCTGGAGAATCGAGTGATGAGGCGCCTGCAATCATGGACGACGCAGAACGCGAGGTTGTCGAGGAGGCCAAGGAGGTACTCGTCTACTCCGCCTACGACTTCCCCGAGACACACCGCACGAGAGAAGCTTTGAAGAACAGGATCAGGAACGAGCTGGCGCAGGAAGCGTACGCAGAGGCTGAAGATGCAAAGGCGAGCCGCGAGTGCGAGTCGGATATGTGGCGGCTCCTGCAGCGACAACCCCCAGAGCCTTTGATCACGACGCAGACCGGAGAGCCTACTAGACAGGTAGCCAGAGGGGTGGAGGACCTCTACGATGTCGGGCGGCGGTGGAGGGAGAAATTAGTGTATCACAGCGAGTGGGAAATGCTCGGCACGTCTCAGCTCCAGGACAAGGCATGATCCCTATTTTAGTTGTTGAGTTTGGTTCCTGTTCTTGATACCCATAGACTTGGATTTATCTACTTTTTTCCCCCAATGCCAAAACCATTCATGCTATCCTATGCTATTGTGTGGGACATAGGACGAGGCCTATCTGATGATAACGCTCGTGCCGAATGAAACATTCGTTAAGTCGCAGATCGCGACGGGTATATTTATCCCACTAGGCCTGGATGGACAGCCGCCAGATTGTTTGCTTTCGCGGGTCACGTAGCAGTCGATTCATGCTAACGCATCCGGCCTCGTTGCTAACGTCCCCGACCCCGTCCTCTACCTCGGCCTCTGCCTCTGCCACGACCTCGAGCAGCCCCTCTTGTTGAACGCGATACCGGTGTCCCGCTGTCCTCGGCGCTTTCTTCTTCCTCTTCGTCTCCCTCATCGGACTCTCCAGAGCCGCCAGAGTCACCGGCATCACCAGAGCCGCTACCATCGCCAGAGTTGCTCCCCTCACCTTCCTCTTCCTCGTCTCCTTCGTCTCCATCTTCACCGTCTTCGCCCTCATTGCGATCATCTTGCTCTTCTTCGTTCGAGTCTGAGCCGTCCTCATCCCCGCCCGAGTTCTCGTCGTCGTCATCGTCGTCATCTTCCGAGTTCGTCGAGTCGGCCTTTTCAGCCTTGCTAGCTTTGCCGCCCTTTTTGGGTTTCTCTTCCTTTGCTGGCTTCCCGGATTTCTTTGGCTTTTCTGGCTCTTCGACCTTCTCAGCTTTCTCGGCTTTAGCCTTGCCAGCGGCCCTCTTTTGACTTCTGGCCACCCGCGCCGATTTTGGAGGCGGCGACGCAGTGTCTGTGCCAGCGTCTTCCGTATCTTCGACGGTGCTAGCGCGGGTCTTCGTCACTGTGGAAGCGCGCTTTCTCCGCCTGGTGTTCCCGCCAGCGTTGCTACCACCGGGAGAGGGCGGAGGCGGCGTGAGCTCGAATTCAGGTGGTGAGGTTGGAGGTTCGCTGGCATCGGCGAGGCGGCGCTCCATCATCATATCGTCGAACTCGTCGTAGGGAAGGGAGAACTCCTTGAATCGGTCGTCATAGTTGTCATCTTCTTGGGCGTCGTAAAAGTCTTCTCGCTGGTCGATCGTCTTAAGATCGTACAAGGTGCGAAGCTTCGCCCAGATATGTGGGATGCGTGTGTGGGTGTAGAAGTCGGGGTCAATGCCGTGATTCCGCAAGTGCTCACTGATAGCAATCATTCTGAAGTGTTTGTGCATGCCTACGATTCGACCGTCAGATTCAATTGGGCTTTCCAAGACCGATCAACTAACCCGCTGGTTTCCACCGGATGACTCCTTTGTAGAGTGATGAAAGTTGATCGTCGGTCCACAGATTATTCGGCCACTCATCCGCAGAAGGCTTGATCGGAGGCGCGCTCGCCACAGGAGTGTCTGCAGCTGGGGTATCGACATCCATGGCATCATCGTCGCGAGCTGGCGTTGGCGTTGCGACAGCAGAAACGCTGCTGCGCATCTTCTTTTTGGGAGGCATGGCAGCGAGGGCCAGCGGCGTAAATAAACGGAGATGGCGTTCCCTGAATTTTGGCGCGTATAGATGTGATGCTCGGTGATGATATGGAGGCGGTAGGGCTGTCGTCCAAATACTCTGGCAAATGTTGAAAAAAGAAGCTCCTGTATTATCTGAGAGCTCTGGCGGGTTGAGGCACTGAGAGCTCTCGATTGGTTCCACTCACTTTCCCGCGGGGCAGGCATAGCAGGTAGGTAGGCACCTTTTGAGTCTTAGGCTCTTCAGCCGCCAGGAACCGAACCTGCGGGGATGATCAGAACCGGACAGAGACATGCAGGGGCTCCAGGTTGTGCCTGAAAGTGTGACGCGCCAGTCGCGACGCGGGGGCCCCTAGCCGCTCCTCTAGCTTTGTCCCCAAAAGTGCCTGGGAGAAACGTCATATGGAACCTGAATCCTCAAAGATGCGATGTCACTGATTGCAGGCTTTACGCCCCATATCCGTCTACACCAATGTTTGACGTCGCAATACTACCGTCGGCACAACCATGTTCGAAGAAGATGATCTTTCGAACGTCTTTGCGATTCCAGACTTCCGAGAGCCGTCCAAATGGCTAGAAAACCAACTGTCCAGAGCCGATACTGGCTTCTTTGCTCTCGACTTAACAGGTATGGCCCCTCGAACAAACAGGCTCCTGGTCGCTTTACTGACCAATATAACGTCCAGAGAAGGAATCGCCTTCTTTATGCAATCCTCCCGATTCTCAACCTAGCGAACTCTTCACCCTCCCTGCCATAGATCCTGCGCCGCAGCAGGAGGAGCTGAACACAACCGAGAACCTCGATTTTACGTTCGAAGAACCCGCGGCAAAGGAAGAGCCGGAAGCGATCGATTTCTGGTTAGGGTTTGACAAGCCCGCCGCGAAGCTACCAGAGTACAAGACCTGGGAAGGCTTCCAGTCTCCTGACATTCTCTCGACAAAGCCGTTGTTCATAACGGAGGCTGGGCCTGGAGCGTTTGATGCCTTGACTGGGCTTAAAGAGGATCCTCTACACATTGGAAGTGCTGACTTCACCGTGGTGGAAGCCGAGACATATTGCAATGCGCTTCTAGCTTTGGCTCTTGGGAGAGACTCGGTATTCTTCTCCTGGCAAGATGTGCATGAAACCTTCAAGCCAGCCTTACCCCAGATCAGGATACCAGCATATTCGGGCAAGGCCGTCCAGGAAGTTCAGCGTTCATGTCTCAAGTGTGGGAATACATACCGTCAACTTCGCAAGTTCGTCGACAGTACATACTTGAAGAACCCGACTCCATGCCGCGTTGCTTTGGCGAGCGCTGTGGACAAGGCCCTCTTGGTTATTCAGGGCAGTATCGCCTTGCACCACCAACACCCACGATCGATTCTCCAAGTTCAATCGCTCGTCGCGCATATATACACTACCTTGCGCCAGTTTGAGTCTTTGTTGTCAAAGATACGACGAGGTCATCTGGATGAAGATGTCTTTGTCATCGTGTTCCAGCAGGCTCAGTCTGCCGAGTACGCCGAGACCCATCTCAGAGATATGATGCGAGAAGTCCTCCGGCGAGTATCAAAGCCCTGGATTGAGCTCGTCGAGGAGTGGATCGGCACACGCCGTGAACTCGGCGTGCCTCTGAGCAAGCACGAAGTTGGAAGACAAAAAGGCTTCATCAAGGTGGAGTCCGAAACCTATATGGACGACCTCGGTGACGAGGTCGATGAGGTTGATTTCCGCCTTGATTCGAAGCGAATACCTAGCTTTATGCCGGAAGATGTCGTCAGATCTCTATTCGAGGTTGGACGAAACCTTCGTTTCATAAGGACAAATCACCCTGGACATCCTTTGGCACACGAGAGCACCATCTCTTCAAGTCAGCCCCCGACGGTTGAGTGGCTTTTTGACTGGAACTCGGTTGTGCAATTGGAGGGTAGGATCCGATCATACGAAAGCGCGGTTCTGGAAGCCATCAAGAACTTTTCTCCACAGGAATCTGCCGAAACAGCGGCACCTGCTTGGCCGATGGGGAACTCAACTACGTACCAACTGCAGCTCTTTGGCCTGGATGAGAATCAGCTGCAAAGTAAACTGGCTTTGTCTATCCGAGACTTTGCTAAACCCATTGCCGACTCGACGTCAGAAGACCTGCTAGGTATCATCATCAGGGAGCGCTTGTCGGACGTCACGACCGAGATCGCGAGTGCCGGGACCGAGTTCACACCGCATTGGTCATTACTTCCTATCCTCTCATTTGGGTCCATCATATCTGCGCAATCCAGAGTCGTGGGCAGGGAGAGTCTGACACTGCTCTTCACATCTCACAACCTGCGTGAGCATCTGAAGCTACAAAAAGAGTTTCAGTTACTGGGCAACGGATTTTTCTGTAGCCGTCTCTCCCATGCCCTATTCGACCCAGATCTCGAGACAGCAGAGAGACAGTCTGGTGTTGCACACCAAGGCGGAGTCATGGGACTACGTTTAAGCGGCAGGGACACTTGGCCGCCCGCTAGCTCTGAGTTACGCTTAGCCCTGATGGGGGTCTTGACGGAAAGCTATGAGGGGCCTCTTCACGAAGGCTCAAGATCTCGGGACGGCGAGAAGAGTGAACTCCCTGGGGATCTTAGTTTCGGAGTCCGGAGTCTCTCAAATGAGGAAATCGACAAATGCATGGATCCAACCGGACTGGAGGCCCTGGACTTTCTCCGGCTATCTTACAAGCCACCAGCAGCTCTGGGGGCTATCATCACCCCTGTCATCCTAGTGCAGTATGACCGAGTTTTCAAACTGCTACTTCGAGTGTTGCGGATGCAGTACACTGTCAACCGTATCTTCCGCGATGTCACAGCTAGGGAGTCCGGCTGGCAGGATGTCGATGACGTATCTATCCGCTTCTGCTTCGAGGCTCGTCACTTTGTATCGAGCCTCACTTCCTACATCTTCGACATTGGCATCGAAATGCCGTGGCAGGCATTTGAACAACTCCTGAGTCAAATCGAGATCGATCTCAGAGCCGAAGACCAGAGCACGCTATCAGGCTCGGTACTTAGCCCTGACCGCTTGAGGGAACACCATTCTCATGTGCTTGATCGAATCATGCTGGCATTACTTTTGCGCAAGCGGCAACAGCCTGTGCTCAAGCTTCTCGACGACATTTTTCGAGTCGTGTTGAAGTTTGCCCAATATTCAAGACTCAAGACTGCTGGGAGGAAATCTGGAGGCCAAGAAGACGCCACTGCGAAGGGCCTATACAAGACGTTTAAGCGGAATGCCGAGGTTTTTCTGGCGGTCTGCAAGGGCCTGAGTGAAAAGGGGGATTACGGAATGAAGGATACCGCTGGAGAGAAGTCGACCTCGGGAAGAGTTGATGAACTGGAGGGAAATCCCATTGCTCAGCTTGTTCTGAAGCTAGACATGTCTGGCTATTACTCCAAGGCATGATTTGATGAGACGGTTGGATTATTGATAAACAGAGAAGATACCCCAGGCGTTAGACCAATGACTAGCCAGTTTCTTTGAATCACATCAATTGCGTTTACGGCATCTGCTGAATCGTGTTCTATTACTGCCTCAATAAGGGGATTGTTGAATTGAGTTCTGATGGCAAAGTTTTGGTATGACAAGCGGGCCCGAACCGGAACATGGACGGGACTCACGGGAGAGAATGGTGGTGGCCTGCCCCGCCAAAGTGATGCCCCGGCCCCGACCTCCCTGGCAGTGCCCCGCATCGCGTGTCCCACCTGCCCGCGTTTGTTGATTTACTTCCCTCGTTTGGACAAAACCGTGCACTTGAACAAAACAAAATAAGCTCTTCTATTGCGACTTTCAAGCTCAACAACCGCCGGAAACACTTACACCATGGCTCGTCCTGGCCCCTCCGCCCGGAATCTTACTCTCACAGAAGAGCTGGAGAAATTGGAGCAGTCTATCACACTGACACTCCAAGGTAAACACTCCGGATCAAAGAGGACCTGCTCTGTCTATGTTCAATCGGCTGACCTATTTATTCCCCAGAGATCGACCACAACTTCAGCAAGGCACACCGCATCGTTACCACGAACATCTTGCCTGTTGTAGAGCAATATGGCGAGCATTCGCGAAATGTTTGGGATGCGTCCAAGGTGCGTAATACCTCTTTGGGTGCCCTTCTGATGGGTTGCTAGCAAGTCCAGCATCACTGACACGGCGAACTTGCAGTTCTGGAAGCAGTTCTTCGAGGCCTCTGCCAACGTTTCCCTCTCCGGGTACGAGGAGAACGCCAATAATGGGGATGATGAGACCGGCGCAACCGAGGAGTCGACTGTTCAAGAAGATACTACCGTCGACTACACCCGCACACCCCAACAACAACGCCCCGAAGGCGAAAAAGACATGACCATAGTATCGACAGCCGACTCTACTTTCCGCGCAGACGATTCTGTACTCGACGATAACGACCTGACGGGCAGCACACCTCGACCTCCCAGGACAAAGACGATGAAGCCGCAGTTTTCGAACCTCGAGTCCCCCTACGAGGCACTCAAGCGCGAGCTGAAAGGCGAACCACCTGCGCCACACGAGGAAGACGACGAGAACGAGGATCTTGGGCTTGAAGAGGACTCGACTATTCTCTTTGCGCAGCATACAGCCCGTCTTCCGGACATGTCCATGACGCCGCGCTCCTCGTTCGCGCCGCCGCAGCAGCAGCAGAGTCACAAGGACCCGCTCATGCACCGCATGCTGGACAAGACGTTCCGCATCCAGGCCACGCCTCACAAGGGCCCCGCTTACCGTGTCTCGCCGCTAAAGCGTGATGACAAGAACAAGGAAAAGAAAAACGTACCTGCATGGCAGCAGGACTCGCCCATGTCGTCACCCGTGATGGCTGTTCCAAAGCTACGTAGCGAGGCCTTCATGTCTCCTATCAAGAGCAATGCACGACAGCGTCTTGCTGCCGCGACTGCATCTGCGGGACCACGAACTCCGGGCGTGAGCGTGCAGACACCGGGCGGTGCGAGGAAGACCAAGGACGTGTTTGCTACCAAAGGCAACTACGACGATGATGACACGACTACGGATCTCGGCGCCAGATTCGACAAGCAAAAATATGAGATTGACTGGGAGAGCGACAGTGATGAGGGTCATGCGCTGTATGGCGGTATGAGTCCGCCCAAGACTATCCAGTTTGCGCTCCCCCCGTCGAAACTGCTTCAGACCCCTGGTGAGTGGTTTTCTGTTTCCGCAGTGAATGGTCCACTCGCTGACAACATTTTTAGCTCGCGAAGCAAGCAAGCGCATTGTCGATGACATTCTACTCACAGCGGGCGCCGAGCCGGAGAGCTCAGAGTATAGTCCTACGATGGTCAAGATGAACGAGGACATTCTCAATGAGAGTTTTTGATTCTGTTGAAATCTTTTAATAGAGATCGTCAACGGAGAAGTCGTCTGCCTCTTAGAATATATAGGGCTGCCTTACTGATAGACAAGATAGATACCCTTGGTTACATAAATGAAACCCTTTCATTCTGATCCTCGCTTTCGATCTTTGATTCCCTGAATCTGAGCACACATAAATAGGAAACCGAATGTTTCAGCAATTTCTGATGTTGAAGACCTCAAACATCGTAGAGAACAATTTTATCCAGGAAGACTCCATCCGAATGGCCGCTATGTCAGCACGGCCGTCTAATATGTAAGAGCCCAACTCCCATAACTCCTGTAATTTCCATCGTATAAACATGGCGGCGACACCCCCTCGAAACATGTCAGTTTCTTTGCCGCCGCCGCTTTCCAATTTGGTTTCATCGTAATCGAACATTTCTAATGAGATGGTGCTGTTGCCGGAATGGCTCTCTACAAGTCGTGGCGGATAGACGAGGGCCAGAATGCAGCCTGCGAGTTCATGATTTGAGTATTGGCGTCCTCGGCGGCCCGTTGGCGGGCAATCAGGGACGAAGACTTTTTAGATGATGATGATGATTTTGTTGCGCCGGAGTGCTTGTTCAGTTTGCTCTTGAGAAGGGAAGCGGAGCTGCCGAAGCTCGAGATTGAGGCGATGTCGGCATCCTTTTGGTAGGGGGAGGCGGAGGAGGAGCCAGAGGCCTTTGAGCCCTGTTGTGTCGCGGAGAGGAGGGCGTAGCTGTGGCGGCTGTCGCCGGTGATGGAGCTGGAGAAGGTGGAGTGCATTCCGGACATGGCTGTTTTGGATGTTTGGGTATTTGCTATTGTGGGCGAGGTTGTAATGGTGGGCAGTTTATTCAGATGAAGCCTTTGAATTGGGAAAGGTGATCTTGATATCGGGGTTCAGTTTTGTCCGATAGTTTGGATGGGTTGATTTGCTTTGATGATGAGGATGATCTAAAAGACAAACCTGAGGATGAGAATGGAGAGGCCTTACTTATACCAAGTCCATCTCTAGGGTTTGTAATTGAGACTTTAGAGTACGGTACTTTACATGACTTACCTTGCTTACACCAACCTTGGAACTTGAGATGTGGAGTATGGATCTTGGGAACCAGGTACCACAGCCCCAGCTGCGCGTCTCGACACACCCGTCATCGGTAGTCGTGGTCGTGGATGGGGGCCCATTGCAGCTCGGAGGTGTGGAGCAAGGGGAAAGCGGAAAGCCGCAGGAGAAGGAGTCACGCGTGGCCCGCCCGCAAGCCTGCCGGCCGGAGGTAAGATAAGGTAGTGTAGGGAAACGGTTCCCAGAGTAGCGGGTAAGCCTACGACAGAACATCCGGGGCGGCATTCGCGAACAAGGGGGGTAAGAGAAGAACGAGTAGACGTCGTCCGGTAAGATAGTCAGAACAAACCGCGTGAGTCATTACGCTATGCAGGCCCTATTGTGCCTCATGCAGCCTCAAACGCAAGCTTGCCAGCCTCGTAGAGTCACGGATGCGAATCTTGGAGGAGGCTTTTGTGATTCCATACCGAAGGGGTGCGTATGCCCCAAATTTCCATGTAAGCTTTACCGGGCGAACGTGCAGGATAGCTCCCTGGAGATCATCTTGGGGGCTAATCAGGGGTGGAGGAGGGCCGGGGACAAGGTAAGCGCCCCGGGGTGAAGATGCGCCGGATGATGCGTTTGCGTATGTGTACTCTGTAAAGATGGGGTTTGATGGAGAAAGTGCCATACGTCGTCTCATGAAATTTCGAGTGAGCCATCTTACCTCCGGCATGGGCTTGCTGACAGACATGTCTGCCTGACGAGGGGCCGCCCAGAGCCCCAGCAGGCAGAGCTTCTAAGCCAGTTCTGCCTGGATTCGCGCAACACCTTTCTCAGGCTCCAGTGGTGCATACACGGCAACGAAAATGTATCAAGTGTGTTTGTAACGATTGTGGTTGGTTCATCGCGAATGCCATGTGCGGTGTCATGGGAGTCAGAGTCGGCCGTATCTTACTCCGACTTGAACGTTGGAGGGGGCCGAGGGTGAGTGCCTGACCTTACTGTACTGCAGCCCTCCGGCAGTGTTTGGCCTCGTTTGGGTACCTTGAGCAGTGACAAGCTCGCGGTGAGAGGAATTCCTCTTATTCGCCCAATCGCCGAATGCTTTTCACTGCAAAATTTTCTTCCTGGCCCTGCGTTAACCTCACTTACACGACCTTGGTTTTTGGTGTGCCTAGCAAGCTTGCATGCCCGCTCATATCCGGGCTGACTCACTCCGAGTCACCTACCCCCACCCGCCTTGCATTTTCGGCAACCTCGAATCAACGGACCCCACCCTCTTTTCCCGGGCGAACGAAGGCTCGGTGCCGACTCGCCCACTTGGCAAGACGATCCTGCTGTTTTCCTTTTCGTCGGCGTCCCGAAGAAGCTCACCGACGAGCCGTGAGTCTCGCCCGAGCTTTTTGTATCCTATGAAGGGGAATGTTCAGTATCACACTGACCCAATGGGCAGAGATGATCCGACTGTGCCTGTAATCGCAAGGGGAAAGATCAGATGACAGTCCCGTCGACTGCCTCAGTGAACGGGCATTGATCGTCCAAAGACCCGGGCTCGCGACGTGAAAACGTTCGGCACCGGGGCCCGAAAACTCTGTTGTTCTCGGCTAAAAAAAACAAGCTTAATCTTGATGGTTGGCTAATTCGTCTATTTGTTTCGTAGGCGACTACGCAATGTCGTTGTTTGGATTGTATTCTGTCATCAGCAGATCCCTGACGGGGGCCGCGTGGCTGGTTGGCAGCGGCGTAGGCTCTACATTCTTACACCCAATGTGACGCGCAGTTCGTTGATAGACTTTGGGTACTTTGGCTACGTCAACAGAGCATCTAATTAAACCCTGTTTGCTACAGCTTGAAAACTCGTTCCCAGCATCTGTTTACTATGACTGTTACATATCATCAGGTCCAGCATTCACTTTTGTTTAGATATTGTATCGTCATGTCCGGCTCTGCAAAAGGCACCTCCGTCAGCCTCTCCTCGTGAGACTTCACTCTTGACACCTATCGAAGGACCAGGGTAACGCAGTGTCGCGGCACGTGAAGACGCTGACTGCTCTCTCCACCCACCCCGGACCCTCTTTCTCGTTTGTTGGCAATGGAAGTAACATTCGGAGCACGAGGCGTTGGAAACTCTTCTTGATTTGACGGGGAACCACATCTCAATGAATCTTCGCTCCCCTGCGAGGTGAGGTTAGGTCTGCTCCTCACTAGCACGCGGCAGACGCAGAGGGGATTTGGTAAGACTACATGGTGAAGGGGTGGGAGGGGATTCACTTCAGACATCCCCCGCCTGCGACTGCAATTGATTATCACGAGAGAACTCTGAAATGAGAGACTTTGAAGTGAGAGGCCCTTATATATCGATCCAGCAAGCAGAACTTCCATGGCATGAAGAAATCCAGACAAGCTGGAGTTGCGCTCTATGCGCTCCAAATTCAACCCCATGGAAATGTACCTTGATGGTAGAATATTCGAACGCTGCAAAGTTCAGCTGATAGCTGTCACGCACATCCTCGCCGGCGGAAGGGTCTTGGACACAGCAGTCGAGACCTCTATGCGAACTACCTCATTTTATCTGTAGTATCCTGATTTCGAATCTTGCTTCGACATCATGGATAAGCCAGGAGATACATACTTCAAGGAAAGGGCCGGTTATACATTCTCTTCAGAAGGGGGGGGGGCTGGTCGTCCGCGGTAAGCACATTGCAAAAGACTTCTGGCCAGTCTCATCGCGATGGCTTGAGCATTTTCTGGCCTTTCGAAGCTAGAGCATGATGGTATAGTTCAAGGTCCGTACTAACGTGGCCAATAGAGCCACAGGTGGATCACCGCTGAGTGAGAGTCAGTGAAAGACACATGGTGAACTGGAGAACAGTCCGCCCAATGGGCCAGACTCTCAGCTTCGAAGCTCGTGAAGAGTGGGTGTTATGCTTGAGTCCTCTCATTCAACATGGTTTAGTTGACTGATGATGCTGAGATTTCGATCGGAGCAATATGCTAGACTTAGGAATGGCCTCCATATGAATACGCCTTGTAAGGACCTAAAATTCGGTGTTGGTTTGGAGAAGCCTAGAGAACTAGTGCAACACTGTCGAGATGTCCACGTTAGTCGAGACGGACGAGAATAATGACCGGCAGGGGTACGGAGGAATGTCGCTCGAGAAACATATAATGAACAACGGATTAAGTATAGTGAAAGAAAACGACGATGATGGAACTGACTGCTTTTAGTGAGAAAGTCGAGTTCCGCCATGGTGGAAATGTGGTCTGTGTCAGTCAGACGACAGGCGCTCCACAAACCTTAATCAGAGCCTCACTTTTTGGTGAGGTACGGAGTGTGAGAGAAAAAGAAAAAAAAAAAAGAAGAGCGTCATGACGTTCTACCTACAAAGCGGTCTAGAAGCTAGAACGACGCTTGAGACGCCGCAGCAAAGGCGGTGGCCGGGCGCTGCGACGGGCTCATCAGGCATTACCCCGCCATGTCTTAATCGGAGCTTGGATTTGACTTCTTATCAGCGGGACGGGAATGATGGATGGAGGGGCACTCTCGTATTCGTGTTATCACGTGATTAGAAACACGGTTGAGAGACGGAGGCTGAAAAGAGATCAGACGGTTTGATTGGCCGGGCCGTCCAGATCGTACAGGTCAGGGGTAGCTGCCGTCCCTGATGGATTGGCCAATCTGATGAGCTCCCGCTGCTGTCAGACGGGGGAGGATCGCATTTGCACAACTTGTTGCTCTATGCTCCGAAATGAGAAATTGCCTGGTCATGTTGGTTGAGCGGAAGAGAATTTCCTCTTGGGACGATTTGTGCATTCTCGTCTACGTGTTTTATGAAACGTCGCTGGACCCCCCGGCCGGGAAGGTAGCCCACCGAGAGTGCATTGGTATGTCCCGTAGGTACTTTTACAGTATCGAGTCGAGTGTGGTCGAGTCACCGACAGACGCCACAATTCCGTGAAGGGCACAAGTAGACGCTGGTAGCCGATACTTTGCTTGGCGCAATCCATTCTGGCTGCGTTGCTGGCGTTGGTTTGCTCGGGTGGGTTAGGGAACACATGGTGACACTGACAGTTGAGTTGACCATGGAACTCGAGCTAATTGGACACGATGGCTTTCTCGACTTGACCGAATAGCGCTCAGTCAACCAATACTCAGCACAAGGACTAGAAGAGAGAATAGAGAGAGAAAAAAGAAAGAGAAGAGACCAACCGCCATAACGTCAAACAAACCCGCGGCTCCTTTGTCTTATCCGAGAATGAGTGCCGTTTGTATGGATACGAATACGTGGATAGGAGCAATAGAAAGATTAGCCCATGACAGCTTCAATTTCGCATCGCTGCGTGGTGTGCTGGATTCAGGGTCATGAAGCAACCCCACGTTCGGATCTTGCGCTATTCGGTCTTTACGCGCCCCATTGACGGCGGCCGAGACAAGCGATGGGCATCCAATGAGGGTAGGCGAAAGGTCATTCGAATGCCCAGATGTCCATAGACATTGACAAAGCGGCGTGTCACAGCCCACAGGCCCGAGATGTGGTGCTGGGCCGATTACTAGGTGCGTGTGAATGTTCGGAGGCGAGCTGCCCTTGCCTGCTTGGCGGATGGGCAATGCAAGCAATGCGGCCCTCTTTCCCCCTAAACGAAACGAAGCAACGACTAGGTAGGTACCTTTCGTTGCTTGGTAAAAGCAGGTCAGTGAGTTGGACCCAACAAATTTTTTGACACTAGCTCATCTGGTTGCACTATCAGCTATGCGCCAGCAGATTCTATCCCGGCTAATTAAGCAAGACATAGCCAGAAGGAACAAAATTGTCATTTCGTTTGATGTTGGATGATAGGCGGGCGGACATTCCACTTACCGGTCATCCGAGCACATGGCGATAGTCTCATGTATTGAATTGAGACTGTGATAACCGCCCCGCCCCTCCTTTTCACTTTGCGCTGGGAGCTATATCGAAAAGTAAAGTAAGCATATGGAAAAGGCTGCTCATCGAAATCTGACTAGAATCAAAACTCAATGACCTTCTCTGGGGTAAAGTGAGTTTTAGCTACCCAAGTCAAAGCAGGAGCTGAGAGGTGCCTGAGCAGAGGAAAGCACACAGACGGACGGATAGGCAGGGCGAGAAAAGACCTCCAGCTCACATCACCGTCCGATGGTTTCTGAAGTCTGAAGACGGGAGTGCTTGGGCGATTCCGGCCTTGCGCCGCAGTTGCGCGTGCTTCCAAAATTCTAATCGGGCCCCTATTGCGCAGGCCACAGGGTGAGGTGGTATTGATCAGAACCTGGAAAGAAAATTCAGAATCTCAGCAGCCCACATCGGTCTTAACGGAGACAACCCACAAATCTATCGTGTTTTGATCGCCTTTCTCTGTGCTCCCGGTCGCAATTGGCGTGCGGAAACTGCTGTGCCCGCTCGTCTGTTCAAACACAGAGGTGGATTTGTTTAAGTAGAAAGACCTTGGGACCCCCGTTCGCGCCTACGTGTGGTGGCAGGGAAGGCAGGGGAGGTACAGGTACATCCCAGTGACCCGTCTTGCAGAGACTGGGACCTGCCTCGCTCACTTTCACCTGGCCTACCACAACGAACAACCTCATCCGGGTATCCACCTCTTCCCATGCCCCCCCGTCCCCGTCCCTGTCCATGCCCATGGTAATCGAACTCCCTTCTTTAATCTTTTGAACATGTCCTTCCCTCCCACATCTCACCCGCAGTGCTCCTAATCAACCTCTACCGGGAGTGTTGCTCAAGTCACTGACCTCGCGCGGCATTCTCACTGCTGCCTCCTTTTCCTCGAGGATCTCAACAAGCGCAAAACTTATTTGGTTGTTGCGTGTTGCGTGTTGCGCCTAAGCCGTCGACCGACCCTTTCGCGCCCTGGTGTCTTTTTTTTTTTTCCCTCTCCCGGCCGGCCTCCCCTCCGAAGACACGCACCCCGATTTCGATATTCGAACCGACCACGATGGATTCCAACGCGACGACCTTCACTTCGGTGTTGGCCAATGCCAAGCTCGGCAATGTCAACATCCCCCCTCAAGTCGACTATGTGATCGAGAAAGTGGCCAATGCTAGCATCGTGACGATCCTGTTCACGCTGCTGGCCCTCGCTGTCGCATATGACCAGAGTAAGTGATGCGCCCAGGAGTGGCCTAAGAGATGGAATAAAATCTGACAAGCTATAGTCAGCTACATCACTTCCAAGGGCTCCATTGCTGGCCCTACCTTCAAGATGCCCTTCATCGGCCCCTTCTTGGAGTCTGTGAACCCCAAGTTCTCTGAATACAAGGCCAAGTGGGCCAGCGGCCCTCTCAGCTGTGTTTCCGTCTTCCACAAGTAAGTTGCGCACAACAGGCATAACCTGTAAGTGATTTGATATCTGACAGTTGCAGGTTCGTCGTCATTGCCTCAACCCGCGACATGGCCCGTAAGGTCTTCAACTCGCCTGGCTACGTCAAGCCTTGTGTTGTTGATGTCGCCCACAAGCTCCTCGGTCCCACCAACTGGGTGTTCCTCGACGGCAAGCCGCACGTCGACTTCCGCAAAGGTCTCAACGGCCTTTTCACCCGCCAGGCCTTGGCCTCTTACCTCCCTGGCCAGGAGGCCGTGTACAAGCAGTACTTCCAGGAGTTCCTCCAGATCACCAAGGATGCCGGCGGCGAGGCCCGTCCTTTCATGCCTGCTTTCCGCGACGTCATGACCGCCGTTTCCTGCCGCACCTTTGTCGGCTACTACATCTCCGACGAGGCCGTTCGCAAGATTTCGACCGACTACTTCCTCATTACCGAGGCTCTCGAGCTTGTCAACTTCCCCCTTATCCTGCCCTTCACCAAGCCCTGGTACGGAAAGAAGGCCTCCGACATGGTTATTGCCGAATTCGCAAAGTGCTCTGCCAAGAGCAAGGTTCGCATGGCTGCCGGAGGTGAGGTGACCTGCATCATGGACGCCTGGGTCAAGTCTATCCTCGAGTCCAAGAACTGGCGCGAGGCCGAGGCCGCTGGCAAGACCGAGGGTCTCGAGAAGCCCCACCCCCTCCTCCGCGAGTTCTCCGACTATGAGATTGCCCAGACCGTCTTCACCTTCCTCTTCGCCTCCCAGGATGCCACCAGCAGTGCCGCCACGTGGCTTTTCCAGACTATGGCCCAGCGCCCCGACATCCTCGATCGTGTCCGTGAAGAGAACATCAAGGTTCGCAACGGCGACCGCCATGCTGAGTTGAACATGGACCAGCTCGAGTCCTTGACTTACACCCGTGCCGTCGTCCGCGAGCTGCTCCGCTACCGCCCTCCTGTCCTCATGGTGCCCTACGTCGTCAAGAAGCCCTTCCCCATTACTCCCGAGTACACTGTTCCCAAGGGTAAGCATATTATTGCTGTCAAGCTGTTTGAGTGAATGCTGATTTGAGACAGGCGCCATGGTCATTCCTACCGTTTACCCTGCGCTCCGTGATCCCGAGGTGTACGACCGCCCCGATGAGTTCGATCCCGAGCGTTACTACACCGGCGATGCGGAGGAGAAGGGCGCCAAGAACTTCCTCGTTTTCGGAACCGGCCCTCACTACTGTATCGGCCAGACCTACGCTCAGCTCAACCTGGCCTTGATGATCGGAAAAGCCTCCGTCATGTTGGACTGGGTGCACCACCCTACACCCAAGTCCGAGGAGATCAAGGTGTTCGCCACCATCTTCCCTATGGTATGTTGGAGATTATCCCGCAGAAACGTGAGAAACAGAACACTAACAGGCGTAGGATGACTGCCCTCTTACCTTCAACGAGCGCACGGCATAGATCTCTTATACCTCTTTTCCTAGGCTACGGGCTGGCAGTGATTTCGCCCAATGAATGAGCTGGGCCCGGCTGATGCTGCAAGACCTCCACTAGCGCGCCCTTGTCAATGTCAGACGCCACTTTAATCGCCCGTCGGAACGGGAGCCTCGTAAAACTCGAGTCGAGATTGGTCAACGCCAGGCCCTTAGACTACAAACTTGTAATAGACGTTTATGTGTACATAATTTTGAGGAGAATAGTCCTAAAAAGAGCGGGCGATGCCGAGGACTTTGGGTCGCCCAGGGATTATGATTCCCAGACGAGGATGGATATTGGGTAAACGGCCGATCTGAATGATACTGGGTGACGACAGACTCAGCTTAGAGCCAATGGTATAAAAAAAACTTGAAATAACAAAATGGCCCCGTGATTCATTGATCAAGATAGACATTGGCAGAGGTGAAGAAGCTGTCTCGTACCTAAAGATCCCACGCAACTGATTGCTGGGTTGACACCAAAAGTGGCTGTGACTTAAGTAACATCGTCCTCATCTTACTAAAGTTGGAGATTAGTGAAGATGCCCTCGAGAGAGTTACACCTTGAGTTCGGCGAAGTAGGTATATATATGCCAAGGAACCTGTCAAAGCCAACCTAAGTGCGTCAACCATATCTTGTGCCGAATAGGTCGTCAAACAGAGTTAAAGCCCGCCCGGGCGCGCAACGTCAGTGGAGACCGGCAGAGCTCCAAGGGGGAGGGGAGAGGACCAGCGGGCACTGTCATCAACGCAGGTCCCCGGGGCCCCGCCGTTCTTTTGGCCGACAGATACCCGCTGGAGCTTCCTTAAAGATCCCCGTTCAGCTCCAGCTTCCGATCGCCAACGTCTTTTAGCAACTCCCCGTCACCTCGCTTTGACTGTCGAAGACTCTGGTGAATACAAGCTGTATTCAATTCCCCCCCCCCAAGAGACAGAAGAGAAGGACGAAATGGCACCCGCAAGAGCTTGCGCCGACGCCCTCCGCGCGAGCAGCAGCCGCCTCGGTTCCGTCGTCGCCCCGACAGCGGCTACGAGACGGTGCTTTGCTGCTGCTGCTGCCAAGTCGACGTTCTCGGCCCGCGTTACGGGAAAGATGACGACGGCACGCCTCGGTTTGAGTGTTACTCCTGCTGCGGCGGCGAGGACGACGGCGGCGGCACGCTTCTTCTCCTCGGAGAAGGAAAGGGTCGAGGACGACTACCACCAGATCTCCGCCAACGGGAGCAAGATCTGGGACTTTAGCCAGATGGCGGAGCTGGCCAAGGATCCCGGCAACGTCGTCATTGTCGGTATGTCTTGCTGCTACTACTACTACACTACACATTCCGCCTGTGACCTTGCCACTCTTTGGGCTGATCCTTAAATGGTGTTCTTTTCGCTTCGCTAACCAAAAATCCCTTCTGCCCCAAAGATGCCCGTGAACCAGGCGAACTCGTAGACACAGGCCGCATCCCCACCGCAATCAACATCCCCGTCGCCACGGCGCCCGAGAGCTTCCTCATCGCCGAAGAGGACTTCGAGGACCGGTACGGGTACCCGCGCCCGAAGAAGGATACGGAGCTGGTTTTCTATTGCAAGGCTGGCGTGCGGAGCCGGGCGCTGGCGACGCTGGCGCGGGATGCTGGGTGGACCAAGGTCGGGGAGTATCCCGGTAGCTGGCTGGACTGGGCGAAGAAGGGAGGGGAGGTTGAGAGGGGTGGGAAGGGGCCTGGGCAGGAGTAAAGTATCGTTCAGGTCTGTCATGCGGTGGTGGGATGTATGAATAAGTCTTTGAGGCGGTTGTTATACGACACGACACGGTACGGCATGGCAAAGATAGACGGCGAGTTTGATCATGATATTCGTTGTACAGATATGGTACATGAAACCCTACGCTCCGGCGGATGACACAGCAATCCCTGTTCCAAAGTAGACAAAATTCCAAGTTGATGTAGCTCCTTTTCGCACGCTCTTCTATAACAGCTTCTGAAAGGTTCTAGTGTGACTTTGCGGAACTCCCGAGGGTAAATCAAAAGGTGGGAGGCGCTCCCTCAGCAGGGGGGTTAGCGGGCGCAGCGGGCGGCGCTGCGGGGTCCTTGCTCGCGACGGGGCTGCCGTGGGCGAAGAAGAGGATCTTGATAGCCAGCGAGAGGCCGAGATGGAGGGCGACGACGACGACAAGCAGGATCTTGCTCGTCTGGTGGTCGGTGGCGCTGAGGACGGGGTAGAGGTTGCGGAGGAGGAAGGCGACGGAGAGGCCGCAACCGACGGCGACGAAGACCCAGTTGAGGATGTTGATGGGGGACCAGCTGATGAGGGCGACGGGGATCCAGATGAGGTTGGCGTAGCCGTAGAGGGCCCACTGCTCGAGGAGGTTGGCGGACTCGGAGCCGAAGTAGCGCAGGGCAAGGTAGAGGGCGACGGGGACGAAGAGGGTGTAGCCGTAGATGAGACCGGCGGCGCCTGTGAGGAGAAGTGTGTCAGTGATCATCGTAGAGAATTGTTGGCTGAATTATCAAGAGCCCTTACCACTCAGGAGCTTAAAGTCATATGCAAACGGGCCAGACCCTGTGCTCGCGAGGTACTGGCTGATGGTACCACCAAGGAAAAGGATCAGGACGACGGTCGTGGCGATCCAGAAGGGGCCGTAAAGGTCAGGGTTTCCCTCCAAGACGTCGAGAAAGTTGGCGCGCGGGTAGAGCGCAGCCCAGCAGCGAGAGAGAACGGCGGAGGTGTCGACGTCAAAGTACTGGGCGTAAAAGTTGATGCTCCAGAGGAAGCGCTTTGAGGATCCGGACGACGCTGTCGCCGGCGGCGGGAGACCTGACGCAGGCGCCTTGCGAGCCCCCGGCGTCGTGTCCTGAAAGTTGGAGCTGTGGAATTCGAGATCGTCCTGGAGGTCGGTGTGGCCGAGGTCGCCCTGCGAGAGGAAGTATGGTTAGCTTTGAGGGACGGTTGCGAGGAAGAACTAGGGGAATGGAGCTCTCACCTCGTCGTCGACGTCCACGACGGCGTCGTATCCGGACCCAGACCGTGACATGATTGGTTATTGAAGCTGAGATGAATTCACCCTTGATCTCTGACACAAGTATCTGCCTTGATGGTTCGTCACAATGGGGCTCTGGCCTGCTGGGTCGTCGGCGTTGGGGATCGTGAAGTTGGGCAAGTTGGGACGGCCGATACGTGTATACGTACGAATACCTAGAGCTTTGGACAAGGTGTCGTAATCCCACACATGCAGTTTGGCCCTGCAGCTCCCTAGCAAGAAAAAGTCCCCACTCAGGTACACACCCATGTCTGAGCCGTACCAGTGTTGCACTAATGCGGATAATTCCCGTCCCAGTTTTATGCAAGTACACGCCAGTGTGGTTAAAAGAATTTCGCTAGAAGCATTGGACACTATCTGATAAGATCACAATCATCAAGTTCACATGCATGACGTGCATCACCAAATTGAACGGCATGTGGTTCTGAGGCTCTGTATTTCGCTACTGTGTTGATTTTCCACTGTAGTCAATGGAGCATTGTGAGGCAGGTCAGTCGCCATCCCGCATCCATCATAGTACGTCTCTCATGCTCATTAGCATCTCCATGCTGCACTCAGGACGCCTAGGCGCGCTCTCTCGCCAAACGATTTTTCTCTCAGCCTCCAACCATCATTTTGTTGATGTACGACAGGCATAACGGGGTAGTCCGGGTTGTGTTTCCTTTTGACATTTGAGGTAGGAGGGCGACCAATTCAGTTTTTATTCGACGACCTGCTTGCCGATGGAAAGTAATGCTACCACAAAGCCCAGGAAAATTCGTATCCCTGCCATCCTCTCCAGAATGCCAGAACCCGTGACGCCGCAACCGTAATGAATCGTCTATTTGAGCTTCTTCTTGGGGCGGAGCTGGTTGGTGTGACCGCACTTGCGCTTACGGCAATTGGTCGCACGGGGGGGAAGACGGGCCTACATCATTCCATGTTAGGTTTTGCTTGGGTCGCGCGGCCGACCTCAGTTGGCGGGGATTGAGGGTGAGGCTACTTACGTAGCACTTGCGGCAGATCATCTTGTCGCAGTTGAACTTGGAGGCAAGAGCCTTCAGGGAGGGCTCAATGATACCACCGCGGAGGCGGAGGACCAAGTGGAGGGTGGACTCCTGTTCGGTGTGTCAGCTTCCATGTCTCTTCGGCCATCATATCTTCAATATTCCCAGCGACCCGGATGCTGGTCTCCCCTTCTTTTCAACTGTCCGGCGCAATTAGACTAACCTTCTGGATGTTGTAGTCGGAGAGGGTGCGGCCGTCCTCAAGCTGCTTGCCAGCGAAGATCAAGCGCTGCTGGTCGGGGGGAATGCCCTCCTTGTCCTGGATCTTGGACTTGACATTGTCGATCGTGTCGGAGGACTCGACCTCAAGGGTAATGGTCTTACCCGTCAGGGTCTTCACGAAACTGTAACATCCATCGTCAGTACATCGGCGTCTTCGGGCTTCGTCGTCGCATGGAAAAGAGATTTTGTTGCGCTCGGGATCGGGCGGGAGGGGTGTTCGGGGTTGGCTCACATCTGCACTACACGCAAAATATCGTTAGCATCGCCCAAAATCAACCATCAGAGCAACGGCGCGCAGCAAGACGCCGTCTCGCCGTGCAGGGGGTTCTCATCACTTACTCTTGCCGACGTTCGTGAACTGGCTGTTGTTACCGAGAAAGTTCTGGTGATCGCGGCAAATAATTGGTGGGGCGGGCTTGAGAATGAGTGTTGAGGTTGCGGCGCGAGCGACCGACAAGCCCTAATTAGGGCACGCGGGTACGGACATGGTCCGAGCGCCAAAGTAGGTGTAAAAGTGAGCGGGCTGGGAAGAGCACCCTGTGGAAATTATGGGCCTGCCCAGTGACTCTTCGGGTTGCGATGATCAACAGGCTCATCCTCCAAATGCTCTGCTATCTTTTTGCTCTTTGCCCTGAATTAGTGCATGCACTGATGTACTGAAAATGGCCTCTAGCTCATACCAATTGTTCCAGAGTACTGAGAACAACAAAGACGAAACACTCAATTTTATATTTCGCTCTGGACGAAGACTTCTTTCTAATACATGGGTATCTCAATGCTGATAATTTCAACTTACGCACTCGCACTCGTGCTTATCCCTAGCTGCTGAGAGCACTTACATGCCCACCAACCCCGGATTCTTCAGGTGGACGTACCACAGACCGTACATGCCTACCTCCACACCGCGCATTACTCAGTATATGTTGGCTGCTCAGTATCCGACTCCATAGGCACGACAGACCGCGATCGTTCACGTCTTTCGTTAGCTGCCCTGCGTTGCTCCTTTTGCCAGGTCACGATGTGGCCCTCAAGCATATTGACGGCTCGCACCAACATGGGAACGGACAGCCCTGCCAGCTGCGCCGCCAGCTGAAAGAAGTCCCTGCCTATGGGAGGAAGATCTTCCTCGGATTTGTACGAGTGATATCGACTCTTTCGATAGCTTTCATCCCCTTGTCTGTCACGTTCATCTAAGTCGGCGAAGGACGCGGCCTGTGTTTGGACAGCGCGCAGCCTTTCAGTCACCTCATCTCCTGTTGTCTCGGACACTGTTTGCCTAGGCACTTGCTCGTCCACGGGGAAGTATCTCGCGAGTAGTGTCTCTTCGGCTAAGTCGTTGTCAATGACGGGATTCAGCGAAGTAAAGTGAACGTCGACTTACTTTGCGCTTCAGTCAGTAGTGAAAGGTGTGCAAAGTACTCATCTAGCTCTTTTGGGCTCATTGATGTGATCTGAGACGCCGTAACGTCTGTATAGTCAACGGTAGATGTAGCTTCATCTGTAGCCAAGGCTGGAGTCATTATCCTCTTCCACTCTTTCCAGTCAAGCTTAGGCAGGGTGAAGTTGTTCTCGTCTTGAGGAGCTGCCATGTTGTCCTCGAATGGGAAACAGTGCATCGCTGCAAGCACAAGTATGGTGACGAGTAGAATTTCAGGCTGATTTATGAGACGGAGTCGGGCCTTCTCTAGTGGAAAACTGAAGGCTAGATTGGCGATGGGCGGAACGCGGCGCGCAATTGCTACCGTCTCAACTGGGAGTCATTAGTCGAGTTCATCTCTTGACACGGCTATAGGACCTACCAGGCAAGCCAAGCTCACGGGCATACTGCAACGTCATCAGGACATCGTTGAGCGGTGGGAATATCATGCTGTAATTGAGATGATACGATAGGGCCAGGTTCATGACCGAAGCATGCAATTCTCCATTATCGAACGCAGCTAGGTTTGCCGACTTGAGTGGTGTTGTATACCCTGTTGGCAATCGATCACGCATCTCCTGAGGCAGCTGACGATACTGTGACTAGTTAGAGAACATCTGAAAACGGTTGAAGGTAGTACCGACAGCTTCTTTATACGGGATGCTTCCCCCTCTCGCCCACTTGCAAAGGTCACCAACTCGCGTGGGTATCCTCAGCAACATGCACCCCAGGAAGCAGAGGCCCAATGTGTCAATCATTCGAGGTGCCGGCCACTCGCTCCCGTTCTCTCCTGTCCAGCTCTGTGCTCGTTTGTTCCGCGACTGGTGTTGCTCGTCCTGGGCGAGGTCGAGTTGCGAGCTGAAAAGCGTGGGCTCTCCCTCAGAGGCCGAGCCATCCTGAACAATTGTCGCAGCTCCGGAGATGCGGAGATCCCAAAGATCGCGGACAACCGTCTCAAGTTCTGGTTTATGCCCCTTAGCGGCAACCAGCCAATTCACCTGCTCTCTGAGGATAAGCTGCAGGCACTCAAGGTACAGATCGCGTGCTTGTTGGCCGGTGAGCACTCGTCTGATCCGCTCTTTGGCCTGCTTCTCCTTCCGAGCCACGCGACCTTTCTGACCGAAGTCCTCATCGCCGAGGTCAAATTCGACATAACCCTGGGGTAGAGTGTGAGATGTGGCTGATCACATGAGGTGCAGAGTATGGCTTGAACAAACTTGAAGTTGGTGGCCTTCCTTGGCGCAGAATCTCAAACCATTTTCGAGATACCATTTGCGAGAGCCGCAGAATTCACAGCGTTCTCCTTTTGGAAACTTATGAAGGTCCCTCTCTGGAGCCATGGTGCGTTGGCTGATTTGTTGATCGTACTTTGTTGGAAAGTTGTTCTGGGCAAAATCGTCCCCGGATTGGTGAAGTTTTAGACAGTGCGCGGCGCCCGTGTCTGGGGATGCACCTTTACCAGGCAGGCGGGACCTGGCAGGCAGTTGGTCAGGATACAGTCCCCGATTTATGTTATCCTCGAACCAAGGCTTCAATTCAAGGTGCCACTGAAGAATGGTGATTTGGCAGACTTCAAGTCTGGATTTACAGGTAAGTAGCATTGCTGTGTGGCATTGTCCGAACAGCTGAGTTCGACTCACTCATACTAACTATCAACGATAGTCGAGCTGGTTATAGCTAAGCCGCCATCATGAAAGTGAGCCGAGTAAAGCGCCACATGCCTTACAGGAGATGTGGCATATGGATATCAGGTCAGAGGCAATACTGAACTTGTAGTAGAATCACAGTCACGGACATTACACATTTGGCACTTTCACTAGATCTGTACGTAGAGTTTGAACGAAAAACAGAGACCACGTGGTGGAGATATGTACCGCTTTTCCATCGGACAAATCTGCTGCCACCGCGAGGCTCTCCCATTTTTTTCACCTATCCCATTGCTAGTCTGATCGTCGTTAAGAGTCTGTGGGACAGACAAAACAAAGGAAAAAAGTCGTGCGACATGTCTTGCAGTTGTCAAGTTCGCGTACCCAGTATCAAGTCCTGTCCAGATATAGCCTACGCAACGACTGACGGGGATACCGTTAATTTCGAAGCGCCAAGAAATATCGCAAGAAATGTCCCCAGTCTGCCAACATCTGCCAGCAAGGCCGCTTGAATTGAGCGCTTGTGGAAGTCATTGTCTGATGATATGGTAGAGTTGCATCGCTTAACCCTGCTTGGGGGCCTCCTTGGCCTCAACGGCGGCCTCCTCACCCATGGCGGTAAGAATGACGACGTCTGTAGTTGTGTGTTAGTTTTGATCTGTCTCTCTTGTGCTGCGCAGCAAGCTAGTTGTGGGGGGTGGGAAGTCTTACTGGTGTCCTTCTCGTCAACCTTGAACAGCTTGTTGATCTTGTCACCAATCTCGCCGTCGGGAAGACGGACATCGTCCTTGAGGTCACCGTCGTCGTTCATGAGGGAGAGGAAACCATCGTCGGAGATGTCAATCTGAGAAGGGTGCCTATTAGCATACAAGGACCATTTAGGGCATATGACAAGATTTGTGGCAACGTACGAGCTGGAACTCCTTGCGGGAGACGTTGGGGACGTCCATGTTGTGGGTGGAGGGAGAGAGATCCTCAAGCTTCTTGCCGGTGAAGATGTCGATGGCGACCAAGTGAACCTTGGCGTGACCGTGCTTGCCAGTCTTGGAGGTAGACATGTCGACGATCTTGCAGGGGCGGCCCTTGATGACGACGTGACCGTTCTTGCGCAGAGCAGAGCACTGCATGGGGAAGGTGAGAGACGCACCGGCGTCGGTGGACTCGAAGGTCATCTCATGCTGTTAGGTGACGATGCGTTAGCGATTTGGCCAACTCAAAATATGTGCGTCGTTCGGCATGATGATGATGATGGCGGCAGAGTGGAATCGAGATTGGTGTGGTATTTGATGCTCGTATGCGTCGTGTGTTGCCTGAGTTTCTGTGCAGAGCCGTGGTGCGTTGAAGCATCCGCGGGGCTCTCTCGCCAATGTGGATGCGGGGTGGTCGATTTTCGCCAAAGCAGCCGACATCGATCGCATTCGACCACCACCACCACCACCACCACCAAAAGATACAGGGCACGGAGGGGAATAGAGCCGTCGCAAAAGACTCACCTGGGCGTCGTCGTTGGACATTTTGAAGGATTGACTGGAAGATGTCTAAAAAATCGAAGGGAAGATGTCGACAGGCGGAATTACCCAGCAAAAGACGGCTGATATTTTTTGAGGGGGGAGAGTTGTGAAAGGAAGAGAGCGGGCAGAGGGGGGAAATGGAGGGGAAAAAAGGAAGGCGAGGCGGGAGTAGATAATTTTTTTCCTGGTTTTATTATTGGTTTTTTTTCACTCCTAGGCCCAGATTCGCGCCCCTCTCTCTGTCTGTCCGTGGCCTCTCAAGCGTTGGGTGGGACAGGTGCAGGGAGCACTTTCGCAGCGAAAAAAAAAGGTGGAGTGTGGGCTTTCTTCCTTTCTTTTCGCAGATTGAATCTGTCAGGCCCCTCCCCGAGTGACATTGTCGTCGGTGGATGACTCTGCGGTGAACAAAGTACCCATCTAGGTTCTCCCGTCTGCCATCTACCTTCCCACGCCGAAGGCACCACACACCGCAGGAGCTGGAGCTCCTATTCCGCAACCTAACAACTGTCCGGACGCCTGCTCAATATTCAGGCGCTGACCGCCTGTGGAATGCCCTATCTGATCCAGCTAAACACGCCAGGCCAGACCGGCGAGGGTGCCACTGAGGTGGTTGAAGGGTTCCCTCCCGTGTCCGAAGACTCAATCTGTCGAAATGACTTCCCCTTCACAGGGTTTCCCGAAGGACAATGAAGCACATGGGCACAGGGCAGTCCACCGGCCTGTGGCAACAACCTTTTTTGGGCGCTAATGCCGCCATGCCAAAACCTCGCGGGCCAGTGACCCTTGCTTGCCTACCTGCCATCTTCGTTGACCTCCGTTATTAGCACTTTGGCGACAGAAGGTCCGGACTACGGCAACGGATCTTGACGGTATGCGCCGGAGTTCCTACTAACCTGACGGGAAGCTGTCGTGCCTGGATACCTACCCGACTAGGTAAGGTAGATATTACCAGGGATATCATTGTCCGGACATTGTGACAGGTTCTTCCGTACCCAGCTCCTGTTGTATGTAAGACGGCAGCAGGCCAACCACCCTCCCTGAGATTTGCGCACCTATTCGCGCCCAAATATATGCCTTCACATTGTAACATGCAGGAGCTTCCCTCCGAGACAGCTCCAGCAGTCCGAGCTACGGTTACCTTGGAGATGTCGCGGATTCTGCACGACATGTGTGCAGCCTCTCTCTCATCCATACCAGACGCATCAATGGGCCGTTAATTGCTCTTCAATCGCCCATCCTAAGTCCTGCCCCGCACGTTTCCAGGTTGTTTGCCGCCGGCCCTCACTCAGAATTCTGCCCCGCACTTTCCAGACTTCGACCCCTCGAAGACAAAGGGCCCGACCCCTGCCGCGCCACAGGAAGCTCCCGTGGATACGTACTTTGTGGCTGGTGCTTGTCTCTGATCGCTCACCCAATGAGAACACGTCGCTCTCCTAAGGCCGTCCAGCCTTGTCTACCTTACTGCCTCCTGGGGGAAAGTAACCAAAGTCACAGGTGTACATCTTTCCAAGAAGCCAGTCGCCGATCTCTCGATTCTACAACATCACCCGTGCGACTTACGATCCCTCGATGACATGGTGCTCCGACCTGTCGACCACATCGCTTCTTAGCTTCTCCATACCACAAGTCCACCATGTGGCTTGATCGGCTTGCAGCGCAGTCGAACTCGTCTCCCTCAGCGTCGCAGCCCGGCAGTCGACCATACTCTCCTCTTCCGCGACGAACCTCCAGCAGCCCCTATGTAACCTCGCAGCGACCTGGCATCACACCAAGAGGCTCACAACTTTCCCTTGTCTCCAACGATTCCTCGAGCTCTTTCCTAGCTTCACGCAGAGTCAATGGCTCTGGCTTGAAACAGTCCCAGACAACCTACGATGGACCGGATTCGGTCGAGATCTTGGGCCAGATCCTAGATACAGCACCCACATCCGAGACAACAACGGCCACGATAACCGAGAACGACCTCGAACTAGACTTTCATTTCGAAGGTCTGAGCTTGCGAGAGCTCGCAAGCTCCGATGAGATCGATACAAGCTACGCGGATAGCTACCGGCGGCAAACCGCAGAGGAGTGTATGTGCTCCCTATTGGCTGGCCCAACTGTTCGCAGATCGCTAAATTTGGAGTTTAGTTGAAGCGAATAAATCCCAATTCGAGGACTTGCATCGATCAATTGCAGCATGCGATGGGGTCCTAGGCTCAGTGGAGACCAACCTGACGAGCTTCCGTAATGACCTTGCGGCCGTCTCCGCGGACATCGAAAGTCTGCAATCACGTTCGGCGGCGATGAATGTGAGGCTAGACAATCGAAAAGCAGTTGAAAAGGCTTTTGGTCCAGTTGTCGAGGAGCTCAGCGTCTCCCCACATGTGGTGTCCAAGATATCCGAGGGCCAAATCGACGAGACGTGGGTGAGGATGCTGACGGAAGTGGACAAGCGAGCTACAGCATACAAAAAGTCGATTTCGAACCAGGGAGAGAGCAAGGCTTGGGCAGACCTTGGTCCTCTGCTGGAAAAACTGACCATGAAAGCCGTCGAGCGGATACGGGACTTCATTGTCGCCCAGATCAAGGCCTTACGATCCCCTCACATCAACGCCCAAATAATCCAACAGCAAAACTTCTTGAAGTTCAAAGACCTATACACCTTCTTGCACAAGCATCATGCCACGCTTGCAGAAGAGATCAGTCAGGCTTATATGAATACCATGCGATGGTACTACGCAAACCAGTTTGGACGATATCAAAGGGCATTGGAAAAGCTAAAGCTGCACGTTCTCGACAAGAACGACGTTCTTGGACACGACGAACCCACGCGGAGAGCCACGGTACTATCTGCCACCAAACCAGCTGGGCCTCCTCATGATGCCTTCAACTTGGGACGGCGTATTGATCTCCTGAAATCGGGTAACGCTGCTGCGATATCCTCTTACCTGGCCGAGGAAGACCAGACAACACATTACCTAGAGGTGCCTTTCAGGAATTTCAATCTGGCACTTATAGACAACGCCACCGCTGAGTACACATTCTTAGCCGCCTTCTTCTCTCCGCCGTTATCTCTGCAAGCGGTGTCACGCCAGTTCAATTACATCTTCGAACCGACATTTGCGTTGGGCAAAACTCTCACCAAGACGCTCACCGCTGAGTCATACGACGCTCTGGGACTGCTACTAAGCATCCGTATCAACCAGCACCTCGCTTTCGAACTACAACGGCGCAAGGTGCCAGCTGTGGACAGCTATATCAATATGACGACAATGCTTCTATGGCCGAGGCTGCAAGTCGTCATGGATCACCACTGTGAATCATTACGGCAGCTGATGAATACTTTGCCCACAAAACCCAGAGCCGCTGATCAGAACAAGTTATCCGCAGCGCCGCATCTGGTCACCCAGAGATTCGGCCAGATCTTGCAGGGAGTTCTGGCGCTCAGCACAGAGGCAGGAGACGACGAACCGGTGGTAACCAGCTTGCGTCGTCTGCGGTCAGAGGCAGAGGCCTTCTTGACGCGTTACAGTCAGTCTTTCAGCGACAAGCGGAAGCGGGAAAGGTTTCTTTATAACAATTATTCGTTGATTTCGACCATCATCAGCGACGTTGGTGGAAAATTGGGCACGGAGCAGCAGGAGCATTTCGAGGGCCTCAAAGCAGCATTCCAGGAGGGCGCTTGAAGAGCGCAGCACCAGGCACACAGCAGTTTGTTGGATTATTTTGGCATTGGCGCAACATTAGGGGTTCTTGACTGCCAGTGGCATATCACATTGTATGATAGCCTTTTTTTTATACTCTACATGGGGGAATCTAAATGTACATGATGAGACAAGTTGTTTTTGGAGGCTGTCCAGATGGTCTTCCACTCCTGACTAAAAGTTATGCGTCCAGGTCGTTCCGTTGGTCCACTTGTTGTACAAAGCTGCCATGGCAGCCATGGGACTGGGGTTTCTTCTACCCAGGTATACGGCCACTAGACCGATGGCAACGGCCAGTCCGGCCGCAGCGGCCCCCTTTCTGTACGCCCACATCACCTCCATGAGCTTCTGTCGGCGCTCCAGGGCCTTGAGCTCCGCCAGCTGTTTCTGGAAATAGGTGTGTCCTTCGTCCATTGTCTGCTTTGAGCATTCCTCCACGGACCGTGCCGTCCTCAATGAGCTGGCTTTGGATATCTTGCGCCAATGCGGCAGTGACTCGGGTGGGTATCGCTCATAGAGGGCAATCGTGCTCGTGATCAACGCATCGAGGTCCATCTTCTGCGGGACCTTGGAGAGGATGAGGTGGAGCATTGACGGGTCGTCTTCCTCCTGGTCGAAGAGCTCGTCGCGGCGGTTCAGGACGATCTGGACGTACATGTAGATGCTGAAGACGGGTTCGCGGGTGAGGAGGGTATCAAAGAGGCGGGCGATGTCGCCGTAGGCCTGAATGTCGTGCGCGTACATGGTCAGGGTCCCCGCCAGAGCGTAGAAGGGCTCCGTGCCAGAGAGGTGGCGCTTAAGCTTCGGGTCGGCGGCGCTGAGGATGTCGGGGATCAGCCTGAGTTGTGCAATGGTCGGCTCGAGATTGGTGAGCATGAAGTCTCGTATGCGGAGCACCGAGAGGCGCGAGACGAGGCGGGCGCGCCATGGGGGTTCGAGGACCAGCATGAAGACTTGGCAGATGTCATGGTAGCCTTGGAAGTAGCATAGGTATGGGTATCGACGGAGGACTTCGACAATGAGATCGGATAGCTCGCTTTTGTTCTTTTCGAGCTCGGTGTCGTTTTGATCTATACGTGGGATTGGTTAGCTTGCTTGTGCGCGAGTTCGCAACCCTCTTTCAGGGGACTGCAGGAAGGAATGGTCTCACGATTCGGGTAGTAGATGAAGGCGCGGTTGACGTCGAGCGCAACTTGTTCCTCGTCTCTGTGACTTGGAAGAGATTTCCATGATACCTTCTCGTTTATACCAGCTGCGATTGTATCCTGGAAATCCTCGCTATCTGGGAGACCTAGGAGTATGGGCCCTACACACACAATGTTCCGTTAGCCTCGGAGCGTCGCAGAACGACAGCGCCGTGGTTGGCACTTTTTACTACTGACAGGCTTTACGGCGTAGGGTGTCGGTAAGAAACCCGCCTCTGGTACTGGCCAGGCCTTTGAGGTCTTCTATGTTCCGCCATTTGCACGCCTCGAGGATGTTGACCGTCTTGCGCTGTTCCTGATCTACGGGGGCCGCAGATTCAGAACTGCCCAGAGCATTCTGTTCAGCGATCGAGTTCGTTGCCATGACCACTGTGTTGTAGCGAGCAAGATAGCGTCACAAGGCGTCGCTGGAGTCGAGGGGGTGTGCTCGTCACGGGAGCGTGGGCATCGTGTGGCTGCGAGCTCAGGGGAGGTTATGCGCGCGACGCTATCGCCTTGCGCTGCTGACGCTGGTTTGACAAAGAGTCGAAAAAGCCCATGAACTCCTGAGTGGTGAAGTGGCTATCGGACACAGCTTCAACGGCTTGAAGCTGAGGTTAAAGTGGGATGCATTACACACGTCCTCGACCTGCCGGTGAAGACTAGTCGTTGGTTGTAGGAACAGGGAAACTGGAGGTCCAAGAGCTGCCACAAATGTGACAAGCCAGGTAATAGCGGAGTTTCCTCCACAACGGATCTATGGATCTGTTTCGAACCATTGACGCCGAGGCTTAGCGTACGTTTAGAGCAACTTGGCCAGGGACGCCCGGCCCCCATGGCCTGGATCGCCGGGACGGGACGCACGGGCCAGATCCTATGGCGAACCTACGCCGTGGATCATTAAAGCTCTTAGACACCACTTTCATATTACGCTGTCCAGCTTCAGGCTTTTGCCAAAGAGAGGCAGTAAATCCGGGCCGATATGTTTTGGGGTGATCATGTATAAAGCTAGGCTCATAAAAGCGGCTCACCTATTCATGCGAGTGTTTGTATGACTTCACGCCCGGCATCGGCTGCGCACCATGCAGGTCACCATCTATGGCGGTTGCACAGCTCGCCAACCATACTGAGGTACGCCACCCCACGTCGATCCGTGAGACAGGTTCGTCGAGATAGTGCCAGCCCATCTACCTAGTATGGAGGTCACGAGGGCTTTTTCTGAGATTGTAAGGCCGATTTCCCAATGTGAGGATTTCAGTTTGTCAGGTGTGAGTTGGATTGTTGGGCTCTTCTTGCCCCGGTGGTCTCTAAGCATAGCTCGGATAGAGGTGCTACTCGCAATTACATATCCTAAGCCACTCCCGCATGATGCGCCTGGAGAATGCCGTCGACAGAGGAAAATAACGGTCGTCAGAGCGATCCTAGCCTCTGAAGATGCGTTCATTGCCGACCACCGGTCCCGGCATCCTCTTCCTGAACCCTGCAGTTCGACCCAGCCAGTGTCTAGCCGAGACAGCCCAAGCCAGACATGCATAATGGTCTCGGTAAATTGAGTACGTAAGGGCGGTTCTCCATTGAAAGTGACATGTGATTGCTGTCGTTTAGTTGTTTTGTTGGTTGCGCTGCGGCCGAACCGGCCACTCCGTTGACTCAACGTGTTTCTTTGGTTATAGGATTGGTCTATAGGAGAAGAGAGACACTGGCTGTGTCATGCATGAACATGAACCTTTTCAAGCGAGGGACTCTTCGAGTCAGACAGTCGTGCTCAGAATCGGCGGCTATAAAGGTCGGCGAGTTGGGATATGTTGCAACCTGGATAGAGCTGGGCAAGGTCTAAGATTCATTCGTGACAGGATCTGGGAATGACAGCCTGTGAGTGATACGGTTTCTCTCGACAGGTTCAATATCCTGGCAACATACCTAACCATGAAGTGGAGATTCAGACATGCCTCAAGCTTCATTCTCATACCAAGACTACGTGACGACCTAGTACAACGTGAAAAACACATCTAGAAGGTGATTTGGTTGGTATCTTGACTTTCCCGGTGCGTTCCGTGACAGAGAGCTTATAGAGTAGAATAAAAAGCCATGGCAATACATAGAACCCCTGGCTGGTCGTTTTCTGCCCCCCTGCTTTTCTGGAGTATTCCAGACTCGCACACGAGCCCTGGTCCTTGTTTTAACCGATCCGCACTGATTTCTCACCTGGTCTCAGTTGGCACTCGTGAGGAGAGCTCTATTAGGCTGTTAGTAATAGAAAGTGACTTCGCCTTAGATCATATCAGTCTTACTGTGTCGACGTGTACAAGGGCGGGGGAAAGGAGACTCCAGCATGGCCCTACTTGCGTAAGGAGACGTCAACGTTAAACAGTGCCCGAGGGAAACGACGGGTAAGACAGTGGAGGCATCCGAACCCGCAGCGGAAATGGCCGGCTGGGCATCTTGGAATCCGGCGATGCAACTGTTCACACTGGTGTAGGGTATGGAAGTTCTTGGTGGTTGGTGTAGCTATCCATATGTGGGACTTACACCCACACCAATGGAAAGAAGACATCCAATTGCCTTCCTACCCAAGGGCAAGTAATGGTTTCAGCTGGGTAGGGCAGCAAGATCTTGAGGAAAGGCCATTCATTTACCCAATCAGCAAGAGCCCGCGGTTCATTCCAGCTTTCTTCTTTTCGCGCCGGGACGTGCCCTCAAACTGTAGGCACGTAGGGTAAGGTACCTCGTTGGCACAGCCATGTAGATGGAGGCCTAGACTGCCTTTGATTGATTAGTATTGAACCAAACTCACCTTACTATTGGACATTGGATATAGGATGGCAAGATGGGACGACAACGGCGGATGAAGTCGATTTCTTCAGCAGCCGTCAGTGTCATCCGGTCCCTAGCAATCCTGCTAAGTTGGGCTGCTCGCGCACCATGATTTCACTACTTACTGTGGGTGATCAAGCACCTTGAGCCAGTCAACTTCTATCGCAGACGACGGGGCTCTTGAGGCAACCTACCAGCCTACCTAAAACAAGTCCCCGCTTAGCCATGACTGTCTACCTATGGCTTGGCTGCCCGCCTGGGCAAGGAACACGATGGATACCTCGCCCATGCACGATGCTTCAGCAAGGCAGCAACGGCCTACATGGCCAGCCAGCTCACCACCGACGTTCCATCGCCCTATTGACCGAAGTCCCGTCACAGTGGATAAAGTCCGGCTGAGATGCAAATCATACGCAGTGGTCGAGACACAACTCAAGACATAGCCCAGCTACCTCGGCCGAGAATGGTATTTCCCGCGAATTCAACAAGCCGCATTCTTGGGATGTTCTAGGGTACCCCACTTTGAGATACTGTGAAAGGTTTAAGATGAATCAGGGTCCAGCGCGCCACAACGCCAACAGATCGGGTTCTCATGGATCCCTCCAAGCGCCACAAGGGAAGGCGGGATACACTTGTCCTACCTTCGCATGGGTGCAATGCGTTGTAATAAATGATGATTGCCTATACAAGGTAAGTCGGGTTGCTGGGGTTCTTGCTGCTTCGGAGTTGCATTCTTAGTTTTACGCCACCTAGATCGAACTAGACACGGGATGTGAAATGAAGTACCTTTATTGTGTAAAGCTGGGATGTGATATCTCTGTCTTTGATCATTGATAGTTAGTAGGTATCATGTATGATATTTTGGTATGGCAGCCAACCACCTCTGTCCCACCGCCGTGTGTTGCTCACGCCCACACACATTGGATCCGATGTGCCTGCCGCCTCACATCACGTAGGTACTGCACACCTAGGCTTACTGTACCTGCCGTGTCTACCTACGTGCCTACGTAACCTTAAGTACGATGTACCTTACCTTACCTTCCATGCTTGCCAATATGTTTATGTACCGTTCATAACGTAGGCAATGACGGAAAGGCTAATGCGAGGTGCCTTGCAGCTATTGGCTACTTGCATACGACTGCCTTCCGTTGGAAAGCCCTCACTTGGGACACTGAGGTGGTGGTGGTGGTTTCCCTCAGGTAAGCTCGTGCTCCAATGCTCCAAATGCTCCATGCAACGTGGTGCCCCACCAGCTAGCTAACATCCAATGTACCTCGCCTTACACCCAGCACGACTGACTCTAAAACCAACCTCTGCTCCGCCCAACCCTCACAACCTGGAGCCATTCATTCCATGGCGCCGTTGCCTACCTGTCTCCTTGCCTCACATTGTTCCTCAGCAGATAGCGCCCACCCAGTCGTATTTACGTCGTACGGCCGCTACTTGCCATTCCAGTGGCCCTGAATCGGAGACAAAACTTCAGGTCCGTCATACAGTCTGATCGGTTTGGAACTTCGAATCACGCGACCCGGCAATCTGGTATCCATATTCCCCCGCCGCAATCCCGAAATACCTCTATTCCGATTTCACCTCTCTCGGCCTCTTTTCAACCCATTACTACAGAAGCTCACTCAACTGTCAACCATGTTGACATAACAAAACCTGTCGAAATGGCCTTCCAGACAAACGTCTTTAGAAACGGTGCCTGGGTGACGGAGACTATTGACCTCCAAACTGTTCTGAGGGGCTCAACCACAACCACCTCCGCTGTCGCTCCTTCACTCCCCGCCCCACCAAGCTGTGGTATCTTGACGAGAACTGTCATCGAAAGCCCTATTGCTCGATGGGTATTACCTGCTCGTCTGAGGTCTGCACATCACAATGATGTTGCCTTCGTTGGGGTGAGTCGCTCATTCTCTTTCTCGAGCTTCCTGGAGGCTTGCATATCCGATTTTTCAAGCCTCGCAGCCCTTCCTCCTCACACATTCTATCTAGAACATTATGTAAAGAAGCTTACATAGATAGGACCGTTACGTGAGCGTCAATGAGTTGCGCAAGGACGGACAGCTTCAGGAGGTGCTGCGGAAGAACGACTTTGGCTGTCGCATTCGAAATGCCCTTGTTATTGGAAACAAGTACGAGCACTTCCGCGTTGTCCCAGACGATCCTGGTCATGATCACATAAAAAGCGAAGACGAAGACGACGACACCCAAATGGCCGACATTGGCTCTGCATCTGGCATTAGTAGTTCCCATGGACAGTTCCCGCCGCACTTGTTGCTCCTTATCCTCGAGTCAGGTTCGTTTGTCTTCCTCTTCATCAGAAGAGATGCTACCACAGGCATCCTGGAGTTCGTTACATCGCCGTTCCACAACCCAGCAAGGAGACTAGGCCACTTGGGTTTTCACGTAGCTGTCGACCCCAGGTCTCGCTATATCGCAGTTGCGGACGCCCAGAGCAAATTCGTCGTTTACGAGCTAGAGTCCATGGAGGCAATGGGCGACCAGTTCACGCTCAATAAGCCCTTCAAACCCATTAGGGCGCACCACCCAAGAGCAGTCCAAGGTACCATCCTCAAGATGGAATTCCTGTATCCTCGTCCCGAGGACGAAAACCACGTCATTCTCCTTCTCATTATCGCAAAGGCCGACAGGTCGAAGATGGTCATCTATGAAT